TATATATATATATATATATATATATAGTTTTACAGAAAAGTAAATCATATTTGGTTGTGGTTTACAGTGAAAAAACTACACTCCATCAAACAGATCATGATTTAATATTTACCAAATCCTCTACAGCTTGTTAGATGAACCCCTTCACTGCCAGTCATTTTCAAAGCCGAGCGTGATCATCTAACGCTAATTAGAACTATTACCGTACCTAATGAGAACTCAAGCATGATCACAAACAAAAATCATCATAGAACCTGTTGTGTGCATTACTGCATTATTTCGATGGCAATATTGTAATATTAGGTTATGTACTGTAAATGACAAATAATGCAACGTGGTCTCATGCAACTGAACCCCTGCCCCGCTTCCTCCCCCATGCTCTTCCTATCCTTCCACGTTACTGTGAAAACAAATACTGTACAGAGAAGAGGCAAAGAGAGAGGAGGGGCCAAAGACAGTGAGAAAATACCAAGAAAGAGGGGATAGGGAGCCAACGCACGTTGAACATGAATATTTGCATTTCCAACCTGACGGAACAACTGCCTGGCCTGGCAGTTAATGATGTGTTTTGCATGTGGCTCCAAAACAATCCATCCCACATTCAATAATAAGTAGTTGCCACGGTGCCAATGAAGTAATACATTTCATCAAGACAGGTAGGTATTCTGCTTCAAGCATACATGCGGCACTAACTCAGACACGACATTCCGTCAAAAGTGATGAATGATGTGATTGATGGTCTTTATCTTGATCTCGTGATTTATCATTAAATATGCATAAGAGGTGAATAATGTTAAAGAGCAATTGATACAAACAAATACCTGTACATTAGTGCAAAGAATAGACAGTGATGGAATAGAACAGCTGTCAGAGGGATAAGACCTATTTTCTCGATTGCGCTGAAAAGCAAAAAGAGCTAGCAGGGCAGGCAGCTTGAGCAGCTTGTTTACAACACACTTGTTCAAATTATGTGAGCAACTGTGCTGCAGCTCAAAATGGGAAATTACACGAGGAAATTGAAAATAGAATGAGGAAATGACAGACGAGGAACTGAATCTCTCTATGTGGGAACCATCAACCGCAAACATTTACTGAACAAAACACAAGAAAGGGAGGAACTTGGGTAAAACACAGAATCATAAACAGCAATTGGTTCAAACGGTTCGGAAAATGAACTGAGGTGGAAATAATAAAACAGCATCACGAATAAAGAACATTTCAAACAGAAACACAATACAAGATGTAAATGTACACTGTAGAAATGTAAAGAAACAAATTCGCCCCTAAAAAGAGGAGGGGGGGAAAAAAATGAAGACAAAAATGCACACGTGTGCATCCGACACAGGAAGTAGCCATAGATCTCAACCTCCACTGGGAGTAAATGGAATGTGTCTCCAGGAGAAATATTTATCTGTGTTTAAGTATGTGTGAGTACTATAACTGTGTCACCGTATCGTGTTTGGCTCGTGTAAATCGGGCAAGCTGAGCTCGTAACGCTTTTAGCACACAATTATGTTTAGAACTCACATTAGTAAACACTTTAGCACACAATTATGTTTAGAACTCACATTAGTAAACACGGCTGGTTGGTGGTCGAATGTTCTGTAAATGAGCGCAACTGTCTTTGGAGTGAATGACTGTCCACACAGCACAAGGCATCCCCAAAAATAATAATGAACAATGGCTACAAATGAAAACCATCCCACAACCACAACAACAAAAATACAGAACAAAGGCCTTAAAATGGTACCTTGCTCCATGCAGTAAACAAGCGTGTCAACTTGTACGGACAAAAGGAGACAAACACAAAACATGTGCAAGCCCAAAGCCACGCCTCTATTTAGTTCTCACTGCTTTAACCAAGATGATCAATTGCTGTTCTCTTTGTCACATAATCAGAACCAGAATATTTAGGACAGAATATTCAGGACAGAAGACATATCTAACTAGTCATCCTAATCTGATTTCCCTTGATTAGGTTCAAATACTACGTTACCAAGCATTGGTATCAAACCTAAAAGAGCGGACACGTGAGCGGTGGTAGACCACATGCAGACATGAGCGATGGACAAGATCCAAGAAACTTGGATTGCCCTTAAACAGGAATGCGCACCTGGCCGTGCATTAGACTGTAAATAGCACAGAGAGTAGTGCCAAAGCAGAGATGGCGGATCAAGGCATCAAGTCACGTGTACAAATGCTTTCTTTAGTCAAAACTGTACTGCACTTACTGTATTCGTCGAAGTAAGAAATTGCAACTGAGGTCAAAGTACTGCACTTACTGTATTCGTCGAAGTAAGAAATTACAACTGTGAGGTCAAGTATTGCAGTCACCGCGAGGACAGAATTCCATTCAATGCAGAGGAATGTTTCCCAACTTTTTTTGAGCCAAGGCACACAATCTCGTGGTACACCACCAAACAAAAACACTGCCAAAAGTATATACACTATACTAACCAAAACAACAATGGTTTCAACTGGCTCACTTATCTACTGACTTACTGTGAAATATTTCTGTCGTAATAAACGACAAGCGTTGGATACACAATCAAAATTACCTTCTGCCATCAAGAAGAACATTTAATTGTCCTGGCTGTCACTGTAAGTAACTGGAATCGATAGATGAATAAAGCTACATTATATCATTCCACAGCTCATGAGTTGGGAATGATTAACAAAACCAGAGGACATCAAAATGGATTTGTGTGCATTATGGGTTGAGCAGAGCTGTCTTTCGCACCTGGTAGCTTTGGGGCTTAATGAGTGAACGTGTTTTTTTCGTAGCGCAAATTAAAATGAACGTTTGTGAGGATTAGCAAGTCAAATTTACTTTACTCGTGCTGAGTGGTAGACACACTATTTTGACTCTGGGTTTAACAGCGGCAGCGGCACCATGTGGCAGTTGTACGACTCAAGATATTTTTTTATCAGGCAAGTGGAGCTGGACATTGAAGTGAACACAAACACAATTGAGAGATAACAGTGTTGTTACTTGTAACAATTCGTCCTCATTGCCCAGCACGACTGAGAAGTAAAATTCAGGCTATTGACACAAGTGACTGGAATTTAGAGTACGTAACTTCCTTTTTGCCACTGAAGAGCAGTGACTAGAATCTAGTCACTGCTCTTCAGTGATGATCTATTCATTAGATCATTACAGTCATTAATAAAGCGAGCCGATGGTATGTTTATTTTCTTGTATTGCCGTGCTTTAGGACAGTATGTGGAGCACTTAGGTTTGTGTGTCACCTGGAGTACAGAGCAGATATTATGTACAGTTCAAATCTTAAAAAAAAAAAAAAAAAAAAATCTCACTTCAAACAGGAATAAATTCATGGCAAGCAGCGCAGAGAATATGCGTCATTAACACAGGTGCATGATCCAAATTTGTCATCACAGCACAAGCGTGTTAAAAAAAGAGACCACGCTCACCTTGCCCAGCAGGACACCCATCTTGTGCCTCCAGCGGCCTTTATTTAATGAAGCCACTCTGATCCACAGGTTGAGTTGCGAGTTGTACATCCACACGTCCCTGCTGTTGATGCGTCCACCTGTAGCAACGACAGTGGTCCGGATAATATTAAATGCACCATTTTATCTGACTTTCTGTTAACTTTTGAATGCATGTCCAACTGTTCAAGGTTTCAATAGTTGCTGTTCTGCACATCCAGACAACCATTTCATTGTACACTCACACCTATTGACAAGAGTCTTCAGTTGACCAAACAAGTTTTTGGTGACACTACGGATTGTAAAGGAAGTGAGTCAGACGCGTCCATGATCAATTATGTGCTGTGTACAAAGTCAAGGAGCCAGACAGCCTGCTGCCCTGAAGGTTTATGGGTTTCAACTATTTAGATAAGTCATAAGGCCATTGGAGGAAGTACCACTACAAAAGCTGCCTTGTCATCTTTTTAAAAGCTTTTGAAAACATCATCAGCAAGCACAGTATGGTGCTTTTTTTTCATATGGAAAACTCAAGTTTAGATTCAGATTAGCTGCTAATCACTGCTTTTGTGTTGTGTAGGAACATGCAGGTGGGTTCCTTCACCCAAAGGTGGATGCGCATGTATGGGAGTAGTTTGTTAGCCAGCAAATGAGCTTTGAATCAACTATTCAGCTGTTCAGTCAATGAAGCTAAACTCGGCGGTGGATCAACAACCCAGTCGTTAGCCTCTCTCTCATGCCATCACGCATGGCAAAAAATGAAGGCCGCTAGACCCAGAGAGAACCCCCCCCCATCCCCCCCCCCCAGCTCGTTAGATTAGCTAGATTAGTTCGATGCTGCTGATCCCCGCCAGCGACGATGAGTATTTATTTTTTTTGTATGACACCAATAAGGGAAATAACCGGCATGGATTCTACCTTTGGCCACAATGCAGAGCAGGATGTTGTTTAAAGCAAGCCATTTTCAACTAAAAAGTAAAATACAATAAGGCTGACGACCGTTACCGGATGTTCTATTTTCAAGTTCTGCCAATGATTCCTGTTGCCTGGAGAGGTAACTGTAAAGCAACATATGAGCTACGCAGGGGTCTTCGGCAAAAGTACATGACAAGAGACAAATGTTCCATGTGTCGCACTTGATTAAGCCGAGTGGTGGTCTTGAAACGATACAGTCGGTGTCAAGAGGTTTTGTCCTGGAACAGAAAGCATGACTGGTTCTGTATAAACATTTGGGCCACAGGCTATTTAAGATCAGAGCTTACTACAGCTGTGCAGGATGAACTGAAGCCCCCAGCAACCCGCAAGGGGGGATACAGGCAGAGTGGAGGAGGGTAAGAACTTGAGTAAAGTTGGAAATACAATAACAAAACAGATACACCAAAAAAAAAAAAAAAAAAGATGAAAATGGGTCATCAAAAGTGTATTTGCGTATGTGTGTGTCTTTGAGACGGATAGGGGGAAGGGATGTGTTGACTTTTCCAGGCGGGTTCTTGAGCGTAGAAAGATCGCACACGTGAGGACTTGGCACAGTCAGCTCATAAAAAAAAAAAAAAAAAAAAAAAAACGACACACACTCAACTGAAGGAAAGACCACGTTTTCCCCCCCGCCCTCTTTTTTTTCCCCTCTTTCTCAACTGCTGCCGCTGCTGTTATTTGTCCAGTGTGTTTCCATCTTATGCTGGGCACGTTTGAACACGACCTATGATTGGAGAGACATTTAAAACGGCTTATTCTTGGAAGGAAAAAAAAACTTTTCACCTCCACATCTACAATCTGAAAATAAGAAAAATATTGAACTTTAGACAATGAAAGTTTGGCTCTAAAGTAAAAATAAGTGATACAATGTGCTTATCTGGGCGTCACCAAAGAAGGCTTACGGCATTCTTAACACAGGCTTGGATCCAAAAGTGCAACTTTCAATAAAAATGAAGCCCAATCATTAAGTGATATCAAATATATATTATGTTATTATGTTATATATTATATTAAACAGAAGGCATCCTATATAAAAACTGATGAGGAAAAAATGGTGGCCTGAAGAACTGGCTCAGAGAGAAGGGAGCAGGCCAGTGACAGAAGTGCGCCCAAATGTTGCTCTTATTTTCCTTCGATTCAAGTGGGATGCGATGGTAAAATTATGATTGGACAGAAAGCAGTCATGGTCACTTAGCTGGCAGAATTTACTGACCTATACGGTATAAGTCAGTAAATTCTGGTATAGGCTATACCTTAATGCCTTGTGGTATTAAGCACGATAAAATAGTATGGGGGCGGAAAGGGGGAGGGAGCATGAAACAGGATGTCCTGTTTGAGATTGGTAAAAATTCTATATGGAATATGAGCCCGTAAGGATTCTGGCCACATTTTCTATTGTCCAATGATCCATTATTACCTTTAAAACAATAAAATCATATTATTTTTACATGGATACTTTTTAGAATCTTTTTCTTTGGGCTCCAGTATTTCTTGGAATGCCGACTGTGGAGAAATTAGAGCAACTACCTCTAATCTTGATTTATTTCTACACTCTTGTATTTGCGTAAACACATTGAGTATCCAACTGTTTCTTGCCCTGGATTTTGGCCTGTGTTCCAGCTGTTTCTCCTCTCTCTCTGTTTGTCTTTTAAGTCCCCCTGTGATTGGCTGTCAACCAGCCAAAGTCAGCTGAGATCGGCCCCAGCTTACTCACGACCCTAATGAAGATACCTGGTATGGAAATTTGATAGTCCAGTCGCACCAGGCTCTTACCTGACACCAGAATGTCATTGCGGAGGGCACACACGGCGTACTCTGACTTGGTGAACTCGGGCAGTTTGGCCAGCGACTTCCACTCTCCTGTCACTGGATCGTAGCACTCGGTGTAAGGCAGGTTGAAGCCGCCTACTCTCTCACAACCGCCCACCACCACAATCACCTCAGAGTAGCCAGTCGACCTAGAAACAGGAAAACATTCGAGGTTGAGGAACACAGGAAGGTAAACATGTTTGAATAATAGAACAATTTAATAGGACCCAGAAGAGCTGAATCAATAAGCCTGCCCTTACAACAATAACTAGAATAGCACTCAGCAGAGCATTGAGCTTTTCCAAGATGGAAAGACTATGGTTTTTATCAACACAAAGGATTCTTGGCAGAGAACATTTTAAAACAAATATTATACTCACTGTTAAATGAATAAAGATGAATGATACAAAGGCTCCCTGACAAGTGTCCTGAGGTTGTAACAAAGTGAAGACGTGGTTGATATTGTGTGCCAAATAGTGTCAAAGACTGAATTTGTCAACAGTATTACATTTTAAAGATCTCTTCGGCACTATGACGTTGACGGCAAGTGGCAAAATGGAAGCCCCCCTGATATGGATAAAAATGAGTGGACTTTGCTCCATAATTCATATTCCACAAACATTATTAATATGAATACCATGTTTAGACATAGAACATGTTATTATTTTGGGGGTGGGAGTTCACTTCGCCTTTAAAGATTCTGTAGTTATACTTATGGTAATGTGGCCGATGAAAGAAGGAATGTCCCATATTAAAAATGTATGTAATTGAAATAATTGCTTTTAATTCCGTTCTAAAGCTGACTGAGCCAAAGGCAATAAATAACATGTAAACACATGTGCACGCACACGCCAACATTTTGAGGGATTTATTATGACAGGGAAGACAGAGGTGACGTTCCTATATGAGTAGCTTCACTTATCTCCAAGGCAAAGTTCATTTCCAAGCGCTTCTATCAATCCTAGGCTCAACAAAAACAAAACTTGACCTAAGACATGGAGCTCCATTTCCATGATCACATGCTCCAAACTGCTGGATGGAAAAAATCCAGCTTCCCTTTGTTGTCGATGAGAATTTGTGTGATGAGAAAGAAAGCAGGTCAGGCTGATTACAGTGGATTCCCCATGCGTGTATAATGTACATGTGTGAGACAGTCTATACCAGGTGTGGCTCGTGTTATTACCGGTAATAATAATTTGTTCATGTGATGTTGTCTGCAAATTCTGGAAGCTTCCCAAAAGCATAACCGCAGAGGGAGAAAATCAATCAACTATTTTGAGCGGAGGAGAATTGATGCCCCCCCAGGGCAAACTGTACAAAAAGGACAACCAAGTGTCTGCTTTGCTTCTCGCTCAAAACAAACCTGCCTAGATACTGACACAATACAGCCAAATTACACACCAGGCAGACTCCACGACTTCAAAACACAAGGCAGGTCACCAAGCTCAATGGAGCAGCTGCTGTGTGCTGTACAGCTGCCCACCATGTGCTCCGTTTTAAGTTTCATTAATGAAGCCTCAATCAGCACTGGCCTTTGTCCTATCGGACAAACTTAAATGACAACCAAATATGGTGAAATGAAGTGAACTGAATCGTGCTGCGGGTATGACAAACAAGACCGACATTTCTTTGTGGTCATTTGTTGCATCATGTTATTAGTCTTTTTTACACTCCACCAGCTACTGAGTTCTGTGTACCAACATGCCCTGCTTCCTCCTTCATCACTTCTACTTGAAAAGGAGCTACAAAACACACGCATACTTTACTTAGCGCAGTAGCAGTCCCTGTCGCTTTGTCTTCCACACACGCACACCAAAAATAAACCCAACAAAACAAAACAAAACACACAATCAGAAAAATCACTAAAGAGATGCCGTTGGTTGAAGCTTGCTCTTAACTTAATTTTGGCTCACAACACAAAAACAAAAAAGAATCAACCAAAAAATAAATAGATGGGGCATTCAAAATTCAAGGTCCCACTACCAACCGACTGGAATATTTTTTTGCTGGCTTTGTGCATTGAAAACTGCATGACTACATCATGATGCAGATTTGAATTTGATCAATTTGTCAGCCCTAGCTTTTGGAATGTAGGAGAAGAACATGCATATGCCATATGGGAAGGATAAAGCCGAAAGTCAAAGTATCACTGAATCAACAAAAAATACATTAATTCATTGGTTCGTTTATTTTCCCTTGAGTTGATGAAGGCCACTTAGTCAATCCCTATTTTTGATCTAGAGTGTGGATAGCGGTTTTCCCTCACGTCAGCAATAACCAGAAGGCAGACAGTACCTGCGTGGCCGGGTCCTGGGTGACATCATCTCATTTCCAAGTACGTGGTAGCGCCTGGCTTCGTGGAGCAGATGGTAGCACTCCGGAGCGTTCTGGATGAGCTGGTCTCCCTCCACGGTCTGGACAAAGTAGTTGGGGTGCAGGAGAGGCAAGCGCACATGGTGGAGCAAGGCCTTCAGCATGGGTTTACGATGCTCCACACTGTGGTAAACCCAGCGCATCACGGCTTCAAACACAACCTCCTCCTTCCCGATGGACAGCTCGTCACTGTCGATGTACTCTTCCAGCTCTTCCCTGCGGAGGTCGAGGAACTCCTCGTGCTGAGCCACCTCCGAGAAATTGGCCAAAGCGTAACTGCGGCAGCGGCTGGCCAGCTGCTTGAGGGAGTGCGCATCCGCAAAGCGCTGGATGCCCAGGCAGTTGCACGGGTCCAGCTGGTCCTCCAGGAACTTTGCGCAGGCGTCACGTAACGTGGCGATCTGGAAGAGACTGGAGGTCTCGAAGAGGAACTGGACATTCTCTGTGGTGATCTTGGCACGGCCGGTGTAAACATAAGCCAGGAAGGATTCCATGGCTTCGGCCAGAATGCCGTTGATCTCCACCAGCATCTCGCGGCTCTCGCGGTGATCGTTGCAGAACATGGCTCTGAAGTAGGAGGAGCACGCTGAGAGCACGGCCCGGTGGCAGGGGAACTCGCGGCCCTGCACGCTGATGACCACGTCCGTGAACAGGCGGCAGTCGCGGAACTCGTTGAACACCTGCAGGATGCCCTCGGAGTGGGAGGAGCCGGAGCAGAAGTCCAACACCTCCTGGCTGGCTAAGGTCTTGGAGTCCACCTCAAACACCTGAGGGGAAAAAACGTTTTAGTTGCAGGATTCGAAAACAGTGGTGCTCAAACTGGAGTCCAGGAGTCATAACTTGGGGATCACAAAAATAATTTGGCAATAAATAATTGGTCATTTCATTTTTTAGAAGTCCAAAGCTACATATGTGGACCAGTAAGTGAGTAGGCATACAAAACAAATTCCTCCTCCCTACTACGATTGATCGCAGCCCATCTATCAAGATATGTATCAAATTGACTTTTCTCTGAGATACACATAGCCCTAGTGGTTAGCCTCGCTAGTTTTGGCTAGTTCGATCGGCACTCAAAAGGTACCTTTGGACTAGCGGCAAGGGATGAGGGCTGTGGGCCAAAGCGACTTTGTTGCCAAAATGCCAAAAGTTAATGCAAGGACCACTGGTAGTAATGTTGGGGGAAGAGTCGGCCTTTCTCTTCCTCCGCGTGTTCGTTCATTTTGGGATGATGAGGATGCTGGTTATCCAAATACAGGCTGGAGACGATGAACAGTACCTTTGAAGTTTTTTTTTCTTTTCTTTTCTACAGTTTATGAATCGATTCGGGCTCCTGAGAGCTTCAGATTTCGTCAGGAAGCCCAGAAAAAATACAGTCTTGAGAATATATAGAGACAATATGATAATGACAGGCGAGGAGTGACGCCTCCATGCAAATCCCGGAAACAAAGAAGTTAACATGTCATCTGACCCGGCGTGGCTGGAAAAAGTTGGGAGTGGTGAGCTGAGACCAGACCACCACTACCCACCATTGTCTTCGGTCTGAGCTTTGACGTGATGGCAGCAACACAGATACTTGAGATAACAGTTCCTCTTTTGATGTTAAACATGTCCTCTGGAGGGGTCCTAAAAGTGGTGGGGGTCAAGGGGCACTAAAGATGATTATAATCCCAGTAAGCAGGAAATATCTGCTTGAACAGATCCAACTAACGGAGAGGGGGTAGAAAATCACAGGGAGGAATAAATTCCTTAACAGTAACTACCAACAGGAACTTCATTTTTCAAAGAAGTTGTTTGCTACAACGCGCTTGTGTCGCTTTACGACACTGAAAGAGAAACTTCTGCCGCTTTATGACACTGATGTCAGTGTATATGATCTATACGGATGCAACAAACAAATCATCACATAAGGGCACTTTTTTCTAATACCTACAGTCCAATTTCCAGAATAAAAGGCGCAATATCACGGCAAAGTAGTTGTAGTATTGGAATTCTTGTCAAATGAAAATAGAGCTTTGTTCCTTCAATGAACTCTGACTTTGATACACTGTTATGACTTAATCTTGGAAATATCAAATTTTGTTCACTACACTATTACAACTTCATCTTGGAACTACACAGTTTGGTTCTCGTAAGATTATCCTTTTAAAATGACTACTTTTATATTTCATAAATGTTAATATTATTGTAACTTGGCTACTTTCCACTCTAGAAAATTAGGGTCTGCCTGCACATACTTTAATCGTGTTAAGATTATGAGAAGGTCCTTGGGGTGGGGGTGAAGAAAATCAACGGACCAGGACTGTGATTGTTACAGGCGATCCCTTTACTCAGTTACCACAAATGTTATACAAGAGAGACGCTTTGCAACACACCTTGCGTTTTACAGCCGGTGAGTCTCTGATGCCAGTGTCCTCCCTGTTCATCCGTCTGCCAAGAATCAACACCATGGCTGCAACCTTAAAAGCCTCAAGATGACCTGTAGAAAAGCACCTGTCATTACAGCGCGCAGTTTCATATTTTGAATGAGTTCCTGTTTTTTTAATCTTATTCATAGTGTACCTGTGACTTACACCGTACAGAGCAACCTGTTCGAATCACTGGGGTTAAACAAACAAAATGAAAACCATTACCAAAGGCAAAACAAGCACACAAAAGACAACAACAAAAAAAACAAAACGCAATGAGGACACAAGTGAGAGGCGTGAGGCAATATTCGAAATGTCTTCCATGACTTACATCACAGAAAGGCCATTCTGTTTCAAAATATATGAAAACGTATGTTGACACTTCTACAAGCTCATCACTGACACAAAAACAGTTGTGCCCCGCAGCACAATGAGGCGGAAGAGCGAAAGAAGTGGGAAACAGGTTGTGCAACCGTTGGAAGGACCAACCTACATGTCAGTCAGGTTTGTTTTGAAACGGTAGGGGCGGGTTCTCAAGAGGACAGCACATCATCAACGCTGAAACAACACAGGTGCGCAACTTGGATTGAGACTTGAAAAGATGTGACAAGTGTTTTTCAAATTACTTTGTACTTGGACCAGAAACTTGACTGTCAAAAGTAGGAGTCCATTTTGATCCTTGAAAATTCCATCTATAATGTGTTGCTGCGATTCTCAAACTTTGTACACCAAATAGCATCCCAAAATAAATAAATAAATACTTAGGTCATTTATTGACAGCACCACCATCATGACCAACATTAAAATGCAGTACTTGAGTAGGTCCAACTAGTCATCAAAAACAGGTGTCCTTGTGTGTTTTGAAAGGCGCTTATAAATAAAATGTATTATTATTATTATTATTATTATTCCCAAAAACTACACTTAGTATTGTTGTAATCGACTGTACCAGTATACACAATTTGATAATACTGCTGGCCTAAAAAAAAAAAAGTAATTACATAATAATTTAAATAATAAGGCTAAGTGGAGGATGGATGGATGGATGGCACATAAATTAAATTAAAAAATAAATTGCAGCATAATAAATATTTGAAAATTGTTTGAAAAGATTGAAATTAAATTAATGTAAAAATTAACTTATTAACTAATGGGTTATCATATTAAATGACAATTATTTTTGATACCCGATTAATCGTTTGGAGAGACCAAAACCTTTGTAATTTCAGTCTCCAGACAGTAAATATTCCCAGATTGTTTTTACATTCTTTGCATTGAATCAAAATAAAACAATTACAAACATTATTTTTACTTTGGAACGACGATCGACATTTCTCCCTATTTTCTGACATGTTCCAGACCAAACCACAACTGAATCTTAACTAATTTATGATTCATGTTTTAATTTCTCATTTTTCAAATAAGGTTCTGTTTTTGAATATAGGGATGGAAATTAAAACTTGTTTTTTAATGGACTTCACCAATTAATCAACGAAATTCATGATTAATCAACAATCCTTTCCGCCCAACCATCAGAACGGTTTTTGACCTGAATATAACTTCCTGTGATGATATGTCCTGTTAAAAAAAATAGAAGCAGCTGACTGACAGCTGCAGGAGTGAGGTCATTTATTTCAGGTTATTATTAGACTTTGGCTCACATTCAACACGCTCAATCTCTTCTCACGTGTGCGAGGTAAATAAGTAAACCTGCTAACATCATGCGAACTAACACCTCATTGAGACAAGAGAACTGGTTGGGCCACAATGCTCCCGGCTGAATTCAGGTGACACATGACACCTGAATTAAGTGGAATATTACTTCCATCACTCAATAGAAATAGAATTCCATTTGGTCATCTTAAAGTTAATAATAATATGGACTATGGATAGTGACACTGGTGGTGGTGTGAAATAACAAAGAAGAAATATGGTACTAGCAGCCTCCTTGAGTACCTAATACCTTAAAAGAAGGCCTGCATCAGCCCAATACTGATCGATACTACTACCGAAGACAGTTCGGAGAGGCTCCAGCACACCGGCTACAGTTGTGAGGATACGCCGTCCGGATAATGGATGGATGGATATCATACTGTGAGGACTTATGTCATTTATGGAATTAAATACAGCATAAATCACATATAACACAAATAAAGACGTATTTTATGTCAATTAACGTTGCAAATAATACTAATACAGTAACAGTGACACTTCTGAGTTTGAAACAAAATATTGAAATAAAATACTTCCAGAATTTTGAAAAATGTCCAGTAACGGTTCTAATACGAAAGCATTTCAATGAATAACTAGAAGCGTTAAATGCATCATGGAGTAGATATTCAATTACAGTAATGCTGGTCAATGTGCGATACAGGATACAGGAAAACGTGCGCATGTCGTAAACAAAGGGGACGTGTCTCGTGGCGACCGTCAAGAAAATAAGCAAATTAACTGTCAATTGCTTTCACTCTCTGAAGTCAAAATGTAGCCAAGACAAAACACAGACCGTTATTATTTGAAATTATCTTTCCATCAGTTATAGAAAACAGGTGTTACCTTAAAAAAAATTTCCACTTCAATTGACGCTTCCTTTTCGGTTCCAAGCAGACACTGAAGTGGTAAGGGAGAAAAAAAAAACTGCCCTCAAGAGAAAAAAACGTTTATGAAAATATTTCAATAACTCCCCACGAGGAATTACGGAACAATAAGTAGGTTGCTATACGGGCCGCACATTTTTGATAGCAAAACGATGCGACTAACAAAGGACTCTATCTAGCTAACTGTAAACACACAAGCTATTTATACTTGACACGAGAAAAAAAATCTTCCCCAGAGCGCCCACTCAGCTGGTGTCACTGGTGGATTGTGGGTAATGTATTTTATATAATCTTTACTGCCGACTCTTTGCGTCGATTAGAAACTACACTTCCCAGGTCAGCAAGGTTCTCCACGTGGCTCGCTTTTGTTTGCAAACAAACTTGACTTTCGAAGAAAGAACACAGCACAACCAAAGCACGAATCTACAACAAATAGGCAAGATTTAAGAAATTCAACCTTTTCAATATCACTGTTTGGATGACCGTGTGACAAAACAATTCGAAAATAATCGAAATCTGATTAAAACACATATAGACAGACACGCGCACACATTTAGCAGTCGTTATTTAGCCTATTCCGAAACACAACCTAAAACAACGAAGAATGTGCTTTAAGTGGTACGAAACTGGTCGTAACTTAGAAAAACAATTGTCACATTTTTTCAGGGGTGGGTAGGAGGAGCCCAGCCTGGCAAAAATAAAAGACGTCATTACTTCCTCGGGTCGTTGCAACATATTTCTGAGAGTTCCCCTCTGATTTTCACGAATTAGTCTCAGCTCTTGTTTTTAGGGCCTCCGCTTCACATTGTTTTCATTCAAAACCACAAGTGACAAGAGCTGCTTTTGTACAACAATGGGAAATTACTGTGGTGGTTGGATAAGTATGCAAATGATCCAAAAAATGTGTGGAGGCCTTCAAATCAATCCAACAGAGTTGATTTTGAAAACGGAAAATACATATTAAAAAATAGGGAGTGGGGTGTCATTAAATTATGTTATTATTTCACAACAGATAATTATCCATGCTCTCAATCACAAAGGTTTTTTCAGAGAGTATGCGAATTGCATCTCATTCTTGCTGCTGTGCATTCACATCTGGATATGGTATTTAGCTGTTCATCTGCAGCTGGCTGTGTTTACCAACATTCAGCAAAACCCCCCGTTTTAATCCATTTTAGGGGGTGTCCATTTGGCCACTTGTGTCATTTTAAAATACGGCCTGCTGCGGAGGCCCTGGGGGCTCTTTAAATGCATTGAGCAGTGCCCATTTGCTGTATGTGACAGAAGACTGTGTCCCTCTGCTGTTCAATTGATGCACTATCTCTCCACACATGGCAACCGCAGAATCATTTTCAAACCTTCAATCCATTTTTTATCACTTACCCTGTTCAGGGTCACAGGTAAACTGGAACTGGAATCTATCCCGTCTGATTTTGGACGAAGGGCACATTACGATACACCTCGGACTGCATGTCAGCCAATCACTGGGCACGTAGAGAAATACAGTTATTCACGCTCACATTCTCACTGTCACTGAGTCGGAATAGAACGCACGCTGCCTTCGTGGAAGTCAAACGAGTGAACCACTACACCAAAATACATGACACAAGGCGTCTAAACCTATTACAATCACCTGCAAAATAAAATACGATAAAGTATCGCCAGTGTCTGAGTTAGTAGATACATATTTAATTATAGGTTTCAGAAAAATAAAGTTATTTAAAATGAACGCCTCGTGTGTGTTTCGTCATGAAATTACATCATGTGGCTCGTTTTAACTGCACACGTCACGTGACGCAGATTGAACCATGACGTCATACATAAAACTAGACAGCGCACGCGCATAAGCGGCTCGTGTCAACTCCGCAGCTAGCTTAGCAATGGCTGGTGGAGTTGTGAGAAAAAAGCCTCCCGGCTCCGCGTTTCCTCTACGAACGACGCTTCAAGCCCTTTGGCAGGAAAAACATTTAGTTCTCTTCAAGACCGAATACACTTTCCTAGTGGTGTCCGTCTTGTGGCTCTTAGAAATCGGGATCAATGTGTGGGTCATTCAAAAAGTGGCATGTAAGTAGCTCTGGGCTAGTTAGCATGCTATGGCACTGTGTCCTCTTAACGAAGGTATCTGAATGCTACAAGGCTAGCCTTAGCATGAACACGTAGGCAACCACCTGTCAAATGGAATTTACAGCCGACGCATGTCATAGTAATCCTAGCTTGTCGAGTTAAAATATGTACATACTTTTTTTTAACTACCTCAAATGATTTTCACAGTCCAGTACTGCGCCCCAACTTTTATCTAAGGTACATAAAACATTTAAATATTTTAATTTAAAAATGTCCCCAAAGTGTCTATAGACTGAAAAAAATTATGATTGTGTCTTAATTTACTGAAAATTTTACTCGGTGTAAAATATCGGCCCAATAACTAAATTTAGTTGAACCTGAATTAAATATTTTGTTATGTGAATGGGAACAAGTGTATATGAATTCATTGTACCTTCTGCCATCTAGTGGAACAGCATTTAATTGATCTGCCTGTCACTATACGTCGCTGGCACAGATAGACTTGACAAGTGTTCTGAACTGGGTTTAAAAAAAAGTTTAAGGCACTGTAATACTGTACATACATTAAACATAGTCCATGAGTCAGTATAATTACCCCACTAAGTAGATTTTACTTGTTCACCAACAGCACTGTTTTCCAAGGCGCATTTTTTACATTAGAAAAATCTCCTGGCACACCACCAAACAAAATTGTCACAATTATACACACTGTACTTAAAAGATGGATACAAGGGTAAATTGTACCTTCTGCCATCTAGTGAAAGAGCTTTTAAATTGTTTTACGAGTCAGTATATGTATCTTGGATAGATAGATAGATGAACAAAGTCACAGTATTGGTGTAAATAATCTGCTATTTTTGGAAGCGGGGGGCTGGGAGGGACAATATTTTGCTTAAAACAATGAACCTGTTATTCTCCAGACACTGAAATCGACTGGAAGGCTTATATGGACGAAGTGGAGGGAGTCATCAATGGCACCTATGACTACACCCAGCTTAAAGGCGACACTGGCCCCTTAGTGTAAGTCCCACTAGGCTGTTGTGAGTGATCCATGCGCAAAACAATGCATAATTGAGAATGAACTTCCTTGTTGTTGCAGGTACCCGGCTGGTTTTGTGTACATCTTCACAGCTCTTTACTACATAACCAACTCTGGGGTGAACATCCGCCTTGGCCAATACATTTTTGCTGCGTTCTACCTCATCACACTGCTTCTCGTCTTCAGAATATACTGCCGTACCAAGAAGGTAAATTTGGGTTTGTAGAGTTAGAGTAATCCAGGCTAGTGGTCACACTTACTAAGAATTCCAAAAAGAACATTACATTGCGGTTTTTTTTTTTTTTGTGCTTGTTGAGATAGATACCAAACAACACCAAGCCATTTAGAGAGGGCATATCATGACAGGAATTTATTTAAATATTCCCCCAAATGTTCTTTAATTTCCTCATGTTTTTTTCTAGGTTCCTCCCTATGTGTTCTTCTTCATGTGTTGTGCCTCCTATCGGATCCACTCCATCTTCGTCCTGCGTTTGTTCAATGATCCGGTGGCCATGATGCTGCTATTTGCAGCTGTGAACCTTTTCATCGATGGACACTGGTCTCTGGGCTGTTGCATTTACAGGCAAGTGAGGGCTGCTTAAATGCATTTCCTTGTGTAATGCCTACCTTTGATCCTAGGGATATTTTCAATTTACAGGCCAGTCTTCCTCTCTTTCTGACAGTTTAGCAGTGTCTGTGAAAATGAACGTGCTCCTGTTTGCCCCGGGACTACTTTTCCTCCTGCTGTCTGAGTTTGGTTTAATCAGGACAATCCCAAAACTTGGTCTATGTGCGGCCATCCAGGTAAATAATGTACACTCCCTTACAACCTCTTATTGCCTAGTGTGTTTTCTAACCGATGCCGATTGCAGCTCTTGTTGGGTCTGCCTTTCCTCTTGGAGAATCCCGTCGGCTACGTGAGTCGGGCTTTCGACCTGGGGCGTCAGTTTATGTTCAAGTGGACCGTCAACTGGCGCTTCCTGCCCGAGTGGCTCTTTTTAAACCGCTACTTCCACTTCCTTCTCCTGGCAGCTCACCTGCTGGGCCTGCTGCTCTTTGCCCTCTGCCGCTGGAAGAGGTGAGACATACTAAGTGGGAAAGTAGACAAAAGACATTCTTATTTTGACTCTTACTGCGCTAGCATAGTTTAGTGATGGACAATGGCACATTTCGACTTGCGTTCAAATTCAGATTTCAAATATCAGATGTCACATAATTATCACGTGTTCAGAAAATAATCGGGGTATCTTTTTCTGAAGATCTGGAGAAAGCCCACTGGAACTTTTAAAGGAGCCTGGCAAGAGGAAAGTCCCAGCTCGGAAGAACACCATCAACCATATCCTTCATGTGCAGGAGTTTGAGCAGTTTGCAACTAATCGGCTTTTCTCCACACTCTGGGCCTTTTTGCAAAGTCACATCTCCTAACATTTACACCACCTTCCCTTAAAACTTTGTGGAAAACATCAGGTCAGGATGAGATGAAAAGTGCTTTGTTCCCAACATAGGAAAAGACTGCAGTTTCAAATGGACTTAGTCTCCTTTTCTTAACTGACTGCTTTTACTTGTATTTTTCTCAATATGGACCCCAGTGGAAAATGTTTGGACATTCCCAAGTGTTCGGTCAGACCTTAACAGCCAATCACAAATCGTGCTCATCCTGTTTACTTCCAACTTCATAGGCATGTGCTTCAGTCGCTCATTGCATTACCAATTTTATGTGTGGTACTTCCACACGCTGCCCTACCTGCTGTGGAGTGGAGGAGTTAAAAAGATGGCTCATCTCCTCAGGTAAGATGCACTACAAATAAGTCAATATCACAGACACATTCTGTGGTCTAGGAGAGTGTTGCTCTGCTTTTAGGGTCCTCATCCTGGGTCTTGTTGAGCTTTCGTGGAACACCTACCCCTCAACTTGCAGCAGCTCCATAGCCCTTCACGTGTGTCACCTCATCATTCTCTTTTGGCTATGGCTGGCTCCACCCCTTGCATCAGCTGGAACACAGGCAAAAGGACCCATCAAGGACAAATGCCAATGAGGAAAAGTAGAAGTGGGAGGTGTGTGTGTCATTGCATCCTCTCTCTGAGCCTCATGACTCCTGTGCAGAGAATTGCGCTGGGGCAGACTCTTTTAGCCTTTTTTTTTTTTTTTTTTTTTTTAAGGAGCCATTGTTTACCTCTTAGCTTTGTGTTAAAAGTGACAAAAGGTAGGGGTTGAATTTTTGGACAAATGTCCACATCATGTATTTGTTTGCAGGTCTGAAGAGGGGAAAATATGGATTCTCAGGTTTCAATTTTCAATTTATCATCGAGAGGAGGTGTTGTGTTTTGCAACAATTTGTCACATTAACTTATAGTGCCATCACTATACCACGTTATGATGAAAAATGTTGGGAGAATACATCACGTGTAATACTGTATTAAGAAAACACATATTACATTGCGGTGACCTGATTCAGCAAACGTTGCAGTAATATCTCAATGGTGCAATCACAATGATCCTATGAACCTAAAATACAGTACTTACAAAGCATTGTGGGTCACAAATGTATCCGATACAGTGTTTCACTCTCATTTGGTAAAATTGTAACATGCTTCTTATGCTGATATCTAAATGTGTGTATTTTTATTTCCTGTACACATGACGTTACATTTGCAGTAGATCAGCTCGGAGACAATCATAGCTGGTTGTGATCTGGTGATGTAATGAATCGCAACACTCGTCTGGACACAAGAAGCTTTGACTGAAAATAATTTTTTTAAAATAAATATTAAGAATCTGGACTCTGGCCGTTCTGTGTTGAGTTTGCATGCTCTCCCCGTGCTTGCGTGGGTTTTCTCTACGGGTACTGCGGTTTCCTCTCACATTCCAAAAACATGCATGGTAGGTTAATTGAATATATAGATTGAGAGAGAGAGAGAGCACCTTGACCATTTTTCTTCATCCCAATGAGTACAGCACCTTTTGTTCCTCATATTTTTTTTCTTTTCCACACACACATGCACGTTACTTCTAAGCTGCTGAGAGATATTAAAGACGTTTTAGATCTATCTATAGTGGAGTTGAGTAGATTCCATAATCCCATCTGCGCCCCCTACCGACATGAAAAAGGTGCAATAAGGGTTATGAACACACGGGGGCAGCAGTGTGCCATAAAGGCGCCTAGGTTATTACACTCGAGACGACGACGAAGAACAAGTTCTCTCTGAAGAAGAAAGTACAGTTGCCGATAAAATGCTGGACACGCGGGTAAAGCGTATAATACGACAGTCATCGAAGTGTTGGTTATTCTTGCTAAACCGCTGCGCTCTTTGGTCGGTTCACGAGTGCGTTTATCCCGGCGGAGCCTCGTAAATAAGCTAACTGCTAGTTAACGGGCTAACGTCACCACTCAGTATATGTGTGTGTATGCGTTCGGGGTCAGGCACCTGACAGCCACTCACATGATTTTAATTGAGAAACGGCGCGGCTGGTTGAAGGAAGACTTGTTTACTCAAACGATCACTCGTGTCTTTTAGTTTGTTTCAGCGGTATATCGTTGACGAGCAACTTTCAATTAGCAAACAACATGTTCGGCAAGAAGAGGAGTGAGCCCCTCCCAAGAGGAAAGGGCGCCGCCGCTGCCAAGCAGGTAACAACAAGAGTGAAACGGAGACCCTGTTAGAAAAGTCTTTCAAGCCCATCTCTGTCTTTGCTGCTTAGATGGGCCTCTTCTTAGGCATGGACCCCGAGGACATGATGTCGATGGCTGCCGAAGAGGGTTTGGACGACCCGGACTTAGAGGCCGAGCTAGCAGCCATCACTGGGGCCAAAGCGGCTACTGTTGCCGGGGGGAAAGCCAAGCACAAGGGAAGAAGTGAGTTGTAACAACAAAGCCCCTTCCACACCAAACCTGCATTGTGTTTTATATATGTGTGTACAGATTATTTATACATGTGTTTATATCTACATCAGTGGTGGGTGATGAGTTTCTGACCTGGGTTTTCAGTGGGCACTTAAGTAACCTAATCCACCTCTAATACAGTAAATCATGTCCAAAATGTCTGTATAACTATGTGAGGCATTGAAGAGACAATGGCATTTTGTGTATTTAAGAATGAATACCATTATTACTAAGCAAGAAACATAATCACCGTTACCTTCCATTGCATTCATTACCTTCAAACACTTTCAAACCTCTACACGCCAATGCGTTTATCTTCCAGTACATCACTCCCAAATAATTCCAAACGTCTACACTAAAATGTAGCATTTCACAAGCAATATTCAATGTAAACTCTTGAAATAAAGTGCATCATCGTATTCATCAGCGATGCTGATACAGATACCGCAGACCTCATTTCTTAGCCCCTGCCGGTCTGTATAAATTAGCTGTAGCACTCATGCATACTGCTTTGAAAGTGCCCAAAAATTCATTTTGAGGTTGAAACAAGACAGCCGACAACTGTGTAGGCTGAACTAGCGTCATCGAGTCCAGTTTTTCTTGAAAAGTGTGCCTTGAAAATTAATGATACATGGAGAATAAAATCTCTCCTGGTACAGAGTACATAATACCACTATTAGATTTGTATTGATTGTTTGTGTTTCTTTTGAGTTTACCCTTCTTTCTTTGGGGAGGCTCTACTCGGTCATGCATGATTTTTTTCTTGAAACATGAATTAAAGCAGTGTCCCAATACTATTGTTACTGTTGTGCAATTTGGACTCGGAAGAAATCTTGTAATTTCACATGATTTGGGTTACAGGCCCACTGCCGATGGAGGACATCGCCAAAATGGCTGATGAATGTATGCGAGACGTGGATGAGGATGAAGATGACGACAATGTAGAGGATGACGAAGACCTCCTGGTTGGCCCTTTTTTCTCTGATGTTGCCTTGGTCATTGTGCTTTGTTCTCATTGGCTGCTTTGTCTGCTTTTTTCCTGCCAGGCTGAGCTAGAGGAAGTGGTGGGCGAGGATGGCGGGGAGCCTGAGGTTGTTTCTTCTTCATCTGCGGTGGCTGCTGTTGAATCTTCAGTGCTGGTACACACAGTTTACTTGACTTTGAAAAGCTTTAATTCAACTCTTTGTCCATTTTACTGTAGGTATAGAGGTCCTCCTTGAAAAATAGTTTTTTTGAGATACGTACCATTCACAGTCTTCAATGAACTGAACCGCTGTTTTTGGAACGTGGGAAAAAGTTTCTGGGGAAACAGGGAGAACATGTGAAGCAGGCTTGAAACCATAATTCCATCCACTGTGCTGCCATACTCCCTTTTAATGCAAAAATCACCATTAGGACTGACTAATGGCTTTATAAATTGTTTTAATTTATTGATTCAGAACTGACTTTCGTCTGCCTATGTTCACAGGAAATGAGCGTGCCTCCAGCGGCAGCCGTGCCTGGCAGCGTGCAGCACACATTGGAGGAGAGGCTCACTATGTACATGACGGCGCTGCACAATGCCAAGACAGCAGGCGAGGGCGCCAAAGCCCGGCGGCTCCAACGCGGACTAAAGGTGTGACTACCAATCCAATCTTTTTACAGCATTCATTCCCATTCGTAGGTTATGACGGTAATGTCTCCCTTTTACTGCCCTTACAGACGCTGGAGTCCATGTTGGCTGCAGTAAAGAAAGGTCGCCAGGTGAGCGAGGCGGAGATTCCTCCGCCGGTCGCCACGGGAACCAAAAGCGCCACGACGCGTGCCGCTCCGGCCCTCGTCACACCTCCTGAGATCATCACGCCTGATGGCGTAGAGGAGGAACAGGACTCGTCCACCTCCCCGCCAACACTCGCTGTTGAGCCATCACAGGAGCAGGCGGATCCTTCCCAGGAGCAGGCGGATCCTTCCCAGGAGCAGGCGGATCCTTCCCAGGAGCAGGCAGATCCTTCACAGGAGCAGGTGAATCCTTCACAGGAGCAGGCGGATCCTTCATCGGACCATGCGGTTCCTTCAACGGAGCAAGCAGACACCTCACCAACTCCTAATAATGACGGTCAGTGTCATCCTAATTCAATTAAACCAAGCAACAAATCTTTGAGCTAGAGCATCATTTCTACGTTAAGTCCTAGGAACTAAAAATGTGGCTAACTGAAATCTAGTTCTGACTAGCATCAAAATGACCACACAAAAAGTGAAACCCGCTTTTCATTCCTGTCACAGCGAGCGAGCGAGTGGCAACTATAAGTTCGCAAAGGCAGCAAGAGTACAAAATGGCTGCCCTGGCAGCCAAGAAGGCAGGAGAGGTGCAGCAAGCCATGGTCTACTTCAGGACCAGCAAGGTGCGTACGAATAGGACACGTGTTAAGTTGAATGAATCCAGTGAGCTTGCTGCACATTGTTGTTGATGTTCTTACCTCTATCGAGGTTTTTTTTAACCTTGATGTCAAGGTTAAAAAAAAAAAAACAAAATGCATTTGCGACAAACCACATCAAGTAACATCTCAGTTAAAACATTTTGGTGAGGCAATTTCACATAATTGTTTTTGTCCATACGACCTCATTTGGTGACACAATAAAATGTGCTTTTCAATGAAACTCAAGGGCTTTCAAAATAAGTAATTACTTTGTTGGTATGATCACATAATAGCCGAAACAAACTTCCTCTTTGCCGTTTTGAGGCAGAAGTTTAATTCCGTGATCGAGGCCTTGAAACAAGGACAAGCTGTTGACCTGAGCGGCCTGCCTCCACCTCCAGGTTGGTTTACGCATCATTATTATCTTAAAAACTATTACATTTAAGAAGCTTCAGTTGTTTTCCTGCCCTCTTTTGTCACAAGGTACAGGTGGAAGTGCAGCATCAGTCAAGCAAAACGCCCAAGTCCCCCAGCCGGCGGCAGCAGCTCCAGGTGCCTTAATAACTCATTATTGAATACAATATGAATCCCAAATGTCCGAACTGACATTTGTCGTCCTGCCCGTTAGCCCCGCCGGCTCCCAGGGATGCACTGGAGGCCCTGGAGCAGAGGCGAGCCAAGTACGCCGAGGCGTCGGCTCAGGCCAAAGCGGGCGGGGACGAGCGGAAGGCTCGCATGCACGACCGCATTGCTAAGGTGCAAATGACAAACATGTGCTTCCGTGCTTGTTAACATCCATTTACATACACCGTCTGTAACCTTACTCCTCCGCCAGCAATACCAGAGTGCCATCCGAGCTCACAAAGCGGGAAAAACAGTCAACTTTGATGAGCTCCCTGTTCCACCAGGTGACATTTTTGAGTGGTGTGTCGGAAATGTCGTTTGGCAACATTTAAGAAATTAATAAGGGAATTTTTTTGTTTTTTTGTTTTGTTTTTGAACAGGCTTTCCTCCCATCCCGGGCCAGAAGGCCACGACGGCCGAGCAAGGGTTGTTTGCTGCGCTGGAGGTCGCCTCCAAGATCTCCACTACTGATGATGATGCTGGGAGTGCAGATGAGGAAGAAGAGAAGGAAGTGGAGGTGGGCTGTTTTATTTGTACTATTTTTATTTTTCCACTCCGCGATCCTGCAAAATTGATTTCATACACATGTCAGTTCTATTACAGCTCTCACGCTGCATTGTGTGAAAGAGGCTAAAGTTAAAAGTATCTTTTGTAGCCAAAGAAGAGCACACTAAGCGTCCCGGCTGCATCGAGAGGTCAGAGAAGATCTCCGTCTGCCTCACCCGAGAGAACATCCGCCAGAGATCTCTCACCTGCAGGTCAGTCCTGCCACATGTCATCACAGCGTCCTTTTCTGCTGGTTAAGTTGCTTCTACTATGTCTGTTTCTTCTCCTTCGCTCCCTATTATTCTTTTTGTAGTTTTACTTATTCTACCGGTACTACTTCTTATTCTACTTATACTGTTTCTACCTCTACTACTTTTGTTTGCTTTTGCTTCTGCTGTCTACTTTTACTTTGTTTACCCACGCTTCTTCCGTTTGCACCTGTTCAACTGCTTCTTGGAGCACTACTTTTACTTCTTCTACCTGTACCTCTACTGCTGCTACTTCTACTTGTACTACATTTTTTGTGGCCTAAGCATCGACTTCAGGTTTCTTGCTAAAATACAAAGATTACAAATTGTCTTCACTTTTCAAAATGTTGAGGGATTACAAGCATTTGTTATTACCATTTAAAAATAAATGTAATTCTACAAACACAATTCCAATGAAGTTGGGACGTTGTGTTCAACAAAGCACTTCTTCTTGGTCCTCCAGCAGCGCAGCAGTTGGCGTTCCTCGAGGGCCGCCGCAAACAGTACATGAAGGCCGCGCTGCACGCCAAGCAGAAGAACGATATGGAGCAGGCCAAGAGCTTCCTGCGCACCGCCAAGGGTCTCGAGGCCATGGTGGAGGCGGCGCGCAGCGGAAAAACGGTGGACGTCAGTTCGGTGAGAAAGCACCGATTATAAACGACCATATGGGCTTGTGATATAAACGTCTAAACGGGAATGATGGCTGACAGGTGCCGTCGCCCCCGGGTGATGAGGAGGAGGACTTTGTCCTGGTGCACCACAGCGATGTGGGGCTTTCGGAGAAGGCAGAGCAGCTCTACTCACAGTTGATCAAGATCCTCAAAGAGCAGCACGAGGTAGCTATGACCGACCCTTCCTTTGCTCTTTTTGGCACCGCTCTGTATCACTCTTGTGTCTCCTGTTAGAAATGTTTGACTTACTCCAAGCAATTCACCCACCTGGGAAACATTACAGAGACCACCAAGTAAGGAATAACGATGAGGACACTTGTGGTGCATCCATTGGGTAAACTTATCTTTTTGGGGTGGGGGTGTGGTGTCTGTGTCAGGTTCGAGAAGATGGCCGAGTCATGTAAAAAGAGTATGGAGGTCCTGAAGATATCTCAAGCTAAGGGTCTGCCTCCCCCCAAACATCACTTTGAAGACAAAACCTTCCACACGGTCAGGTGAGCAAACATTCACAAGAGCCACAGCTGTAACAAAACGCTTTCCAGAACATTTAACATAAAATAACAAGAATACACCAGAACACATAAAACATTGACAATACTTGTTTTTCACCAGTGGTTCACAGACATCATGACGACAGCATGCATAACGTTTAAAAGTAAACATGTAGATGTGGCGTCCACTGACAAATGGTGATCGCTGCACATTTTGACAGCCATTACATTTGCTGTTTCATTTCTTACAGGATGTTCCCAGATCTCAGCAGCACAGAGATGGTGGTGGTTATTGTGAAAGGCATGAATCTTCCTGCTCCTAGTGGTATGCGCGCACACACATACACACACACACACACGCTTAAGATATAGGCTGTTGATGAAAGCGTCTGACACTTCTTTCTGCAGGCATCCAAACGAACGACCTGGATGCTTACGTCAAGTTCGACTTCCCCTACCCCAGCACGGTGAGCCATCTCAGATTTTCATTAGCTCCTGCTCGCGTTGTTGGGGTTTTTTTTTTTTTAAATACTTGCTTGACATTTGTTCTCCAAACGAACGACCTGGATGCTTACGTCAAGTTCGACTTCCCCTACCCCAGCACGGTGAGCCATCTCAGATTTTCTTTAGCTCCTCCTCGCGTTGTTGGGGTTTTTTTTGGAAATACTTGTTTGACATTTGTTTCTAATTTGTGCCTCCAGGAGCAACCGCAGAGACACAAAACGAACGTCATAAAGAACACCAACTCTCCAGGTGAGACGCCTTGCATGTGATTTCTCCCTGCATTACTCACACATGCAACCTCATTGTCTTGCACCAGAGTACAACCAGAGCTTCAGCCTGTCAATCAACCGTAATCACCGCGGCTTTAGGAGAGTGGTGACATCCAAAGGTCTCAAGCTGGAGCTGCTGCACAAAGGGTGAGTCTTGTGCCGAAGCGAGGAAGTTTGCTCGGGACGCTAACGCAGCAGTCTACATATCTGGTGTAAATTGGTTAACATAGTCTACAAATTACAGAATAAATCGGGAGGGGCCATTAGTTTCAATTTGTAAAAAAATATAAATTGGACATGTGGCGTTTTTGCTGGACAGTACTACTATTCATTCAAACGGATAACAGGAAGTAGAAACCTACCAAAATAAAAGCAGTAAGCACCCATACTAATGGGGCCAAATGCACACACTCGTCATGCAGATGAAAATCAAAGCTCCTTGGTCCATAAAAGTTGCACAATACCATCTCCAGTAGGTTCCTGTCACAAGGGCTGGCAGAAAAAGTGGTGCAGGAGTTGAAACCTATCGAAATAAAATGAACACCAGCAGGTGTGATAGTGACTTTGTTTTGACACAGCACTCGTTCCACTAACACTTCCCGTGTGTGTGATGCAAAGCGGCTTCCTGCGGAGCGACAAGCCCATCGGGATGGCGCACGTAAAGCTGGAGCAGCTGGAGTCCCACAGTGAAATCAGGGAGATCGTCGAGGTAAAGCACCCATGTAATGTTCATAACAGGCTGAGAATTACAGCACCGACTTGATTGCACAATGAACTTTTTAGAATACATGGAAATTATTTGTCATTGTAGAAAAAAAAAAGCACTTTAATGTCAATGGCCTCTTTCCTATCAGGTGATGGATGGCCGCAAGCCTACCGGCGGTCGCGTGGAAGTCCGTGTCCGCCTCCGGGAGCCCCTAAACGGGCAGGACACGCAGGCAAGCACCGAGCGCTGGCTGGTGGTGGAGCGGTCCCAGGTATGCACTCACCACACTGCCA